GCACCCAGTTCAAAGAAATATGTCTACTTACAGTAGAGTTCTCCCACCAAGAGAGACTTATTTAGATATGAAACAAAATTAATAGGGAAGGAGAAAAAGAAAGTCAAGAATGTCTTTGGGGATGACTTTCCAGCTTTGTTTAATTTAACCTGATTTTTTTTTAAGCACAGGTTGTTTTCATTGACAGTTGCTCATGTTTAAGAAGAAGATGTGTTCTTACCCCAGGTCATGAGTAACACGAGTGTACAGTTCTCTAGATCTGGTTGTGCAGGAATTAAGTAGAAGTACTTTGTTTAGGTGGAATTAATACCTTATATTATGTATAGCTTTAAAGTACTTAAGTTGGCAGGGGGGCCTATAATCTCAGAAGCTTGGGAGGCTAAGGCAGAAGAATCGAAAGTTCAAAGCCAGCCTCAGCAACTTAGCAAGGCCCTAAGCAACTTAATGAGACCCTGTCTCTAAATAAAATATAAAAAGGACTGGGGATGTGGCTCAGTGATTAAGCACTCCTGGGTTTAATCCCTGGTACAAAAAAAAAGTACTTCAAATTATTGCTTAAACTTATTTCATTTGGTTTTCATATACATCCCAATGAGACAGACATGTCAGGTACTCACTGTATTGAACAGATAAAAAGTATTTTCTTTACAGATGAGAATTAAATATGGGGAGATACAGTGACTTGTTAGGAATACACACAGCTGAGTAGAGTAGAGATGAGCCCCATATTCTTTGACTTCCCATATTGTACTCTGAATAAAATCATGCTCACTCTTTTCTTCCTAATTATCTTTAACCTCCTACTCCCACCCCACCCTCCCACCATTTCTAGCCTCTTATTACCATTTTGTCAAAAGGAGAAGAAAATCTGTTTGAATGAATATCATTCCCTCTAAGTCTGTGTACAGATTTCATATGTCCTGTGAAAGGATGTTTTTGGTAGATTACTTTTTGTTTGTTTTTCATTGAGCTTTTCTGCAAACATACCAGGTTAGCACAACACACTTAGCTATCTTTCAGGACTGACTCTGTACCATGGCTTGTGTTCATCGTGTTGGATTGTTCTTCCTGAGCATACTCAGCTTCATTTCAGCAGTGGACAGAAAGGGGAACAGGATACCTCACCCCAGAGAGGCCAGGATCCCATGTTAGCTTTGAAGCGTTGAAATTAGTTGAGAGGGTAGAGCTGGGGAATATAGAAAATAGCTCTCTTTTTTCCAACCTTAATGGAAAGCTTGCCTAATTCCACTGGGATAGAAAAAAGGACCAGAAGAGAAGACCCGGAAGGTCACTAGCTGGGCTATGCTATTTCCCTGAGCAAGCATTCCAGCCAGCTCCTTTGTGTCCTGCCAGGAAGCTGAGGTCTTGGGTTGCCAGGCCTGCTTCTCCTACCCCAGTCCACCTTGGCAGCCTCACACTAGCTCCTTCCACTTCTTCCCTGCTACAGTTTGGCATATTTTTGGCACAAAAACTGCAATATTGGAGACACTCCCTTTATTTACCTCTTAAATGACCTCTTCAAAGTTGTATTGTCGCAACCGTGAACAATGGTATATGACTGTAATCCCAGCCACTCAGAAGGATAAAGCAGGAGGATAGCAAGTTCGAGGCCAGCCTCAGCAACTTAGTGAGGCCCTAAGCAACTTAGTGAGACCCTGTCTCAAAAAAAATAAATAAATAAAAATTAAAAAGGGTAGGGATGTAGCTCAGTGGTAGAGCACCCCCGGGTTCAATCCCAGTACTGAAAAAGAATTGTTCCAAACAACTATCAGAAGTCATCTCTTCTCTTTTTCCTTGTTTCTTTGGTTATCAAAGGGTTCCAGAAAATTGAAAAATAAAGTTTGGATGCTTCTGGTACAGCCAGGTACTGACCAAAAGGCCCCTATGACTGCAGAAAAAAATATAGTGTCATAGTGGGCATGTACCTTGAGAACTTTTCATTGGCAAGGAACTGGAGTTTAGGTTGATTTTTATCTTTTTACTTACAGGCATTATGGATGAAAGGTTTTCTTGGTCTGTTGTGAAATCTGGCAGTTACATCACGACTTTATTTCATTCCTTCTGTCTCCCTGCTGCAGTGGCTTTAGTACACATTCAGCATTCCCTGTTCCACCTCAGTCCTATTAAGATACCTTCTGAGATCTTGTTTGCCATTTATTTGGACTGAGTTAAAATGCACTTAAGGTATCATGAACCAGAATGGTTTGTGTCCACTTAGGTTCCAGAAAACCTAAGTTAGCAGGAATCCAGTAGAGTGCTATAGGAACGATTTTAATATAGTATAATGTGATACAGTGTTTGTATGATCTGAAAGGAAAGCAAAAGAGAAAGGAAGAGGGTTGTTATTCCAACAAGCAGTTCCTTAGGCAGACAGCCCGATGGCTGTAGGCCAGCAGTGGCTCCGGTGGTTTTCCATAGATCCTCTGGCTCACTCAGTCCTCACCACCGCTTCCCTCCCTGCCACTTCCATTTCTGTGCCTGATGCACCAAAAGAGGGACAAGCAGGGGAGCATGAGGGTGACTCTCCTTCCAGTAGCTCAAGGAAAACATGACTTTTTACCTTGAGCCCAAAGCAAATGAATACAGAGTCGGAAGTGACGAATAGTCACCCAGTTTAACTTTCTCAGCATGTTAATGTTAGAAGTAAAATTATGCATGGCTGGCTGGTCTGGGAGTAGGACCAGAACTTTCATGTCTACGCTAATTCATAGTGTAATTTGAATATGTACTTTATAATTCACTAATCCATTCATGTCTTTATGAGTAGCTACTATCTGTCATGGTATCTACTAGGCAATCTGTGCGGATATAAGTGTAAATCAGACACATGGTCCTAGCATGCAAGGAGCTTATGAGGTAGCGTGGAAGAACCATATGAACAAAAATGTGTAGCCTGGCCTAGGAAGTGCTATCAGAGGTCTGTGTAAGGGTTCATGATGGCAGAATTAAAGGCCTAGTCTCACTGCTCTTGGAACATGGTCACAGCCAGCTTCAGAGAGAGCAGATTTCTTAAACCCAGCACAGAAGATGCTCTGTAGTAGAAGATGCATGGAAGAGCATTCCCCAGGACTGAGAGGAAAGAGAGAAGGCTCTTACTATCTAAAAAGCAGTAACTGCAAGGGTGTGGTCTGCTGCTTTGGAGAGAGACTCTATTGATCAAGTTTGTGAAAATATGCATGTTTCTGGCCCTGTGATTATCCAAGATCTTTCTATTTATTTGTTCTTGAACCATTGTAGCGGTGGGGGGAGATAGAAAAAGAAGGCATGCATTAATTCCCCATGAATCACCTGTGGAAAAGCCACTTTGAACCTCCTCAGTGTCACTTTTCCGTCCCTTGATTTCCATTCCTCTGTGCGCTGCCATATACATAGGCACATAGGATAGAAACTATTCTGCCCTTTGCTTTTTTCACTTACCAGTGTATCTTAGAACTCTTTCTATGTCGCTAGAAAAAGGACTTTCTCATTCTTTGTTTGACTGAACTGTGTGCCATTGTATGGAGGTACCATTGTATGGAGGTACCATAGAGTGCTCAGCCAGTTTCAAGGTGATAGCCATTTATGTTGTTCCTAACCTTTGATATTACAGTGCCCTAATATGTGTTGATATTTATACATACATACCACTCGCCTTAAACAGCACTTTGATCACTAAGTGCTTGCAGAACACAGTTCATTTTAGCTCTCAAAGTCTTTTCCAGTAAGTCCCCAAATAATTGTATCATCTTGTTAACTGTATGTGTCAAAATGAACTTTCTGCTTTAGCTCAATGATATATTCAAGATCTTTTCCAAATACCTCCTTAATTCTCTCTTCTGTACATCCTAAAGTAAGCCATCTTCCTCCACTCTTAGGGATAACAATGATGGTTCCCCAGTGGGCCTTTGCTTTCCCTATATCTCTAGCCTGCATTCCCACCTGCTGGCTTTGTCTTAGAGTTGCTTCCCAGCTCAGCTTGGGCTCTGCCTCTGCTAATCCTCCCAGACTGCCTTTGTCTATAGTAACACCTTTCTGTGACAAACTAGCCCTTGCTGTCTGTATCACTTTTGCTTTTTAGCATGAGATATCTTTTACTATTTTATGTTCATCTTTATGGCTCTCAACACTACCCAGTGCAATTTCTTCCTCTATCAGTTTTACTTTCACATCTAGTATTCTTGAATGTTTAAAAGTCTTAGGTACTGCTCTAAGCCAAAGCCCTCGTGATTCTCCTTTGCTTGCTATGATTTAGCATCCTGATCATGGGATGAAAGATGATGGCAAGTCAGCTGGATCCTGGATCTCTACTCTTACCCTGTCATATCTGGCCCTTCTCCTTAGCCAGATGGACTCACCCTTGAGCTCCACAAATACCTGTTTCCTGTTTCTATGACAACATACATACCATCATTTCCAATAGACTGTCCTATTTTCTCTTTTCTGAATAATGATTCCCCAACCTCAGTGAAATCTGTATAGCATGGACATCTCTAGATTGTCTCCCCCATGTCTCCAGCTATTTTAATGTCTAGGAATAGCAATTATGATAGTTCACTTTTATTGAGAGCGTTATTTAAAAAAAATTTTGTTTGGGTATCAGGGATTGAACCCAGGGGTGCTCTACCACTGAGCTATATCCACAGCCCTTTTTGCCTTTTTGTTTTGAGATAGGATCTCCCTAAGTTGCCTAGGCTGGCCTCAAACTTGCCATACCCCTTCCTCAAGTCACTGGAATTACAGGTGAACACCACTGTGCCTAGCTGAAAAAATGATTTTTAGATTGTTCTGTTTGTGATTTAACGTGATTATGCTGTTTTTCTTATACCCTATACAATACTGTTGCATTTTCCTGCTTCCTGAATCAGACTGTAAACTTTCAGATACAGAAACTTTAATATACACTTTCTGGAATTTCTGATTGCTAATACAGATGTTCTCACATAGAATAGTTCAGTAAAGTAATTGAAGTAATTGATTTTTGTATTAATTTCTGCTCTGTTTTTGTCTTTCTTATTTTTCAGGAAATCATTTGCCAGAAGAATACTGTGAGTATTTTGCTTTAATTTTCCAGAAATTTTAAAGTATTTTCTTTCCCATCAACTAATCTCTACTATTTTAAAAAATCTTCACAAATTCTTAATTTCTGTATCTGTTACTCTTTTTTAGAATTTAAATATGCATATTTTATCTAAATAAGACATTGTAGTGAAAATGTATTTTCAATAATTGGAGATAACAGTATTATCTTACTTTTTATACATGTAATCATGCTTTGGAAAACATCTTCATAGTATAGTCAATGTTATGGAATTATGAGTGGCAATAAAACAGCATTTATGCACAAGAGAGAGACACACATTTGTGTATATATAATACATGGGTGGGTATACATGTAATGTATAGATAACACATGATGTATATATGTGTATATATAATATACATATATGTCATACATATATATATATATATATATAATATGTCATCTATCTTCTATTTAGAGAAATTGATTTAAGTTCCTAAGTAGCATAGTTTGCCTTTGGGTCTCATTCCAGTCTCCCACAGAATTAAATAAACATGAAAAATTTTAAAAAAATAAAATTTAAAAAAACACTGCATGAAGAAAAAATATAATATTACAGTGGAAGTGACCATTTTAGGCCAAAGGTTGTGTATTTCATCTTGGAAAATAAATGACCATTTAGAAATCTTCATGAGCATACCTCTGCAATTTAGACTGCACATGATTGATTCCATTTAAGATGACGAGATTAACAGTATAGTTTCCACAGATCAGAAATTTTAAATGTTATGCTTAAGATTTCACCAGGTAGAAGACTCATTTAGTAAGATGGATAATGTTGCTATTATAACCTCTTAAACTTTAGCCCTTGACAGGAAGTGAGCACTCATTGCTCCATGCTTCAATTCAGCCTAGTAACTTTTATTCGGCAAGTACTAATTGAAGGTGAACTGTGTGCTAGGCTTTAGGCGTGGTGCTGGAGGGGACTGACCATAGAGGTTGAGTGAAAATAACCGTGCTCATACCTGTTCCATGAGCCTATGAGTGAGAAGTGCCAGTGTCTAGTTGGAGGGAAAAGGGCAGCAAATAAATTAGATGTTTTAAAGAGTGGGTGACTGTTGTATTCAGGTCCTTCAGGGGAGGTAGCATTCCCTGAGCCCTGAAGGACAGGAATGATCCAGTCCTGCCTGATTCAGTTTGTGCACATGGAGAAGCAGGTTGATGAGTGGACTGAACATTGTATCATAAATAAGCTGCCCATTGATTTGAGAAAGCTGCTGTGCTCCAGGTGTTAGGTGTCCTTGAAAGAGCTAAATATTGTACACAGGCATTTCAGTATGATTGACTGCCAAGAAGTTTTTTTCCCAGATGCTGAACTCTTTCCATGCACATTTATGTCCATATTTATGTAGTTGTTAAAAGCTGAAAAACAAAAATAGCATTGTTAAAATTTTAACAGAGAAGATAAGTTTTTAGAGTAAGATAAGATTTTAAGCTGTGGGATTTGATAGCCATGAAAAAAAGTATGAGAGATCAGTGTTGTTATTTTATAACAGTGCCTTAGTATTTTGAGGAAATGTGTTCTTCCTCTTGGAAAAAGCAGATCTAAATATTTTAGGTCAAACATAGTGGCGTGTGCCAGTCGTCCCAACTACTAGGGGAACAGATTCAGGAGAATCATAAGTTCAAGGCCACCCTGGGCAAAATAGTGTGACCCTATCTCAAAAAACAGAAAAAAGGAAAGAATTTTTTTTTTTTTAGAATTAGGGTCAGTTGTTGCACTTGTGGTGTTTCTTCTTGATGACACAATGTTATTTTTATTTACTTTGAATTATCATTTATTTAAAATAATGGTTCAGTCGCATTTGACAAATAGAAATTGCTATAGTAACATCTCTCAGTTATGTGTGAGCCAATTTGGGAAATACAGGGTCCCATATTTTTAGTTTTTATCATTTTGAAAAAGTGCATTTCTCAGCAATTACCTTTTAACCACAGTGTCATCAGCTTACCCTCACACTGTTCCCCAATGAGTACTCCCTGGGCTGTCTTAGGCCCAGTTATACCCATGTGCCTTGTACAGCTTTTCATCTTTCCTTTTTTCTTCTGACATTGACAATGGGACATTGAAAAAGTATATATATATATGTGTGTGTGTGTGTGTGTGTGTGTGTGTGTGTGTGTGTGTGTAGTCTCAGGAGTTAGAGAAGAAACTGAAAATTGTGCATCGAGGCCAGTCCCTTGGGAAAACCTGTGGCAGGCTTGGGTGTTTTCAACAGGGATTCTGAAGTCCTGCAGCCTAGGGTTTGTGTTAACACCTGCTTTTCTCTGCTTTTTGTACGACTCTTGTTTTTGCTCTTTACCTCTCCACTGTCCAACACAACACCCAGATAGGTAATCTTTCTCTTCCAGAATTAGTTTTGCACAGGTGCATTATTCCCAATGCCCCATATTTCATCAGTCATGTGTATTTCATGTCTTATACCCAAGTACACATGATGTTAAGGCTTCTAGGGCACACAGTTTTATCCAGCAGCAAAAGAATAATAGTCTAAAACTCTTGACAGCACTTTTCTGGCTTATTGACTTTTCATTGATTTGTTCTCATTTTGTGATAGAAGATTCAAAGCAATTTTGAGTTGTGATGCATGTCTCAAATAAGAATATTTGATTCTATTCCTCCTTTATAACTCATGCATGGTCTAAGCTTTAGAAGCTTTGGAAAACAACCTGCTTGATGTCCTCAGTTTTCTGTTTAGGCAGTGACTTGGGTGAAAGGATTAAATTTGGTGCACATTTTTTGAAACCTTGGTAACATTTTAGAAGTAGGACTTGATCATTTTTCCTCTTCCTGATTAGTCTTCCAATCAATGTTACAAGAAGGAGAACTTGGGAAGGGAAGAATTTAATGTATTTGATTTAAAAATGAAACCTCAACTTGTTGAAGTTCTTCTTATGTTAGCTGGTAGTTGGGCTTATTTCTGCCTCATTACTGACATAAACATGTTCCTCAAAGCATAATATGTTCATAAATATTTAAGTCTGGCCATAAGGGCATTTGACACTGCTCTTCTCTTTGCTGGGATCAGTCGCTTTGCCCACATAGGTTTCTTTAGAAGGTGATAGAAGGTTGGTGAGAGATAGAGGTAGTGCATGTGACCCCCTCATGGTAATGACATGCCCTGAAGAGAAAAAAGTCCTTGGGCTAGAGTTCCAAACAGATTACAGACCAGACACTTGATCTAAGTTTACCTGTCTCCTCATCTATGAAATGGAAGCAGTAGCATCTTCTCTAATGGGTTGTGGTGACCCTGAGGAAATGCATGCCTGGGCACTTGCAAGTAGAGAACAAATGTCTGCTCTTACTGGGTTAGCACTAAGAGCCAGGAAGGGCTGTTTGCCTTCATGAGCTGCTGTGGCTGGCAGCAGGCTCTCAGGACTCCCTGTGCTCCTATAATGGTGGTAATAGGATTTGCCACTGTATTAGCTCTTTGTTGCTGTGACAAATACCTGAGAAAAACAACTTAGAAGAAGAAAGATTTATCTTGGCTCAAGGTTTTAGCGGTTTTAGTCCAGGGTCAGCCAGCTCCATTTCTTAGGACTTGAGGTGAGGCTGACAGGGTGGAAAGTATCAGGGAGGAAAGCTGCTCAGCTCATGGCATTAAGAAGCAGAGAGAGAAAGAGGGGAGGGAGGAAAGGGCCAGGGATAAGAATGCTCTTCTAGGGCATGCCCTCAGTGACCTGCTTCTGGCCATGCCCTACTCCCAGTCGTCTATTCAGCCATCAGTGGATTAATCCACTGACGAGGTCAGAGCCCTTTTGATCCAAACACTTCTCAAAGGTCCCACCTCTGTGCCTTGCTATATAGGGGATCAAGTAAGTCTTCAACACATGAGCCTTTGGAAGGTGTTCTACATCGATACTGTAACTGCCACATGTCCCGTTCTAGTCCTCAGCCCTTTGCTTTTGTCTTTTTAAATGTTTTTTTCTCTCTCTCTCTTAGATGTCTCTCCTATTTCCTTCGATTCAGCCACATCAATTAATTCACAGGTTGTGTTTTGGCTTGAAACTCCTTTATGGTCCCATCATATATTTCCAACTCCCTTTTGGACATTTTTACATTAAACACCATCCTCTTAATGCCTTAAGTTCCATCCTCTCTAAAGTGAACATTTGGCCCTGTCCCACTGCAAATCAGATCTCAACCTTTTGGTATTCTTGTAGATTACCTGGCAGTCAGACTCTGGCTGGGATTTATTACCTGATATACTGCAAGTTCCTCAAAGGGCAGTGTTCATAAAAAAGTCAGAATGGCCTTGCTTTCTGAATTCTTGCTTTCTGGTCACATGGCCACTCTTTTTAGGTAGCCCCATTTAGAGTTGCTCTTGATTCCTTCCTTCTCCACATGTATAACCAGTTACTGGACCTGGTGGATTCTTCATGGTTAGAATATGTGCGCCTGTTTTCTATTGCCGCTGCTGCCAATCTGGTCATGCTACATAGCTTCCTGCCTAATTTCCTTAAATCTTGTTGTTCTTTCTCTCACTCCCTCCTGTTATCTGCCGATACTATCAAAATGCACAGCTCTGGTTGTGTTTTCCTTCCTGCTCTGGATCCTTCAATGATTCTCTCTTGCCCAGAATAGATTTCGGTCCTTAGCTCTGCCTTCAGTTCCCTTTCCTGAGCCCTGAGCTCCAGTCAGATTTGCTTCCTCAGGACCATCCGGTCCAATCCCCTTTGTCTTCTTCCCAGCAGGGCTTCCATTGGCATGAACACACCCTCTCTTGGCATCATCTTGGGTCATCTGGGTACAAGGTCAGCGAGCTCAGGTCGCAGTGAGTCAGGGGGAGAGTGGCACCTCTGAAGTTGGGGAGAGGCAGCATCTGAAGGAGCCAAGCCCCTTGCAGACTACAGTGCAGCACCCCATGTTCATCTTAGGGAACCTGATGGCTACATGCATCTGAGGAAAGCTGTCTTGTAGGGTGTTAAAGATCACTTTGAGGGCTTGGTAAAGAAGAGAATGGGGGCAGGAGTAGAAGCAGGGAGACCAGTTAAAACCATTTGCAGAATGAGGCCAAGTATGCTGGTGCTTGGACTTTCAGTGCTGAAAGGAGAAGAGGGAGGCGTATGGACAAATATCAGATCCATTTTGGAGACAAAACAGAAGGACTTTGACAGGGAATGGTGGGGGGAAGAAAAGGAAGCATCAAGGATCACTCGTAGTTCTTTAGGCTGCACATGGTGCTTTAAACTACTGTTTTTCCTAAGCATATGTCATAGTGCCTTGGCCATGCAAGTTGGTGAATAAATAAATATTTAATGACTGCTAGAAACTGTTCTATAGTTTTTTGGTATCATCAGTAAGTTCTAATTGTATTGAACTAAGCAATTAAAGAAATGGGGAAATTTCCATTTTCATAGGTCATGAATAAGAAATGAAGTTTTCCTCTTTCCTTTCGCATTTAAAATTATTTAAAATGAGTCACTGAAGTATGACCTGGATTTCCATCCATGTGGTGTCCCCAGGCAAGCTCCCCAGCACCTGCTGCCTCCTCTCTCCACAGATGTGCACTGGGAACTATACCTTTGTCCCCTACATGGTCACTCCGCATAACAAGGTCTACTGCTGTGACAGCAGCTTCATGAAGGGCTTGACTGAGCTCATGCAACCCAACTTTGAGCTGCTTTTGGGACCTATCTGCTTACCTCTTGTGGATCGTTTCATTCAGCTTTTGAAGGTGGCACAAGCAAGTTCCAGGTAATGTTCAATACGCCATGTGGTGATGGTCATGAAGTGTTGCTCTACTTCATTTATTTGAGCATGTTTTCAGATGTTCCTTAGGTGTCCATTACACAGCTAAGAACCAGGAAAAAAATGCTCAATATCCTCTAAATATATAAAAGAGACACCATATAGTCACTTGTTGCATTATTTCACTTTATACAACAACTTGACAGCATCACCCCCCCCAAAAAAATCTCTTAGTTGTTTTATAGTAATGCTAAAAAGTGTGCATATATCAAGTATAGAAACATCAGAATTAAATGTTCAGGAACTTTCATGTAAGGGTCAGATCTCTGAAAAAAGTTGATGAAAGCATGTTTCAGTAAATAATCATTTATGTTAATGAATGATGATATTGGATCAGAAAGTAAAGGTTTTATTATGTTCAAATCATAGGCATATATAATTTATTTAGGGCAATTTCTGCTCAAAATAGCAACTTGAAAAAGTTTTGGCATCTTAAGTGGTACATTACAAGAAAATTCATTAATGTGAAATATTTTTATCTTCCAGTTTTTCTGAAACAAGGAAGAGTATTAAATACATGGACTCCCAAATTTCTTAATAATAATGCCAAATGAGAAGTTCTTTCTGTGCATCTTAGTAAATTGAAAACCACTCATGTGAAAATGTGATTCATTTCCATATAAAGTTGTAAGTTTTAGTTTTCACTGAAATCCTTGCTAATATGCTTTTTTTTTTTTTTTTTTTCATCAGCCAGTATTTCCGGGAATCTATACTCAATGATATCAGGAAAGCTCGGAATTTGTACACTGGTAAAGAATTGGCAGCCGAATTGGCAAGAATTCGGCAACGAGTAGACAATATTGAAGTCTTGACGGCAGATATTGTCATTAATCTGTTACTTTCCTACAGAGATATCCAGGTGAGAAGATGCTTAAAGTAAAATCTTTGTCCATGTAGCATGTTGGAGGAGTAAGAGACTGTTATCGTGACATTTTAGCTAATTTCATGTTGCTACATCTAACTTTTTATTGACCTTCCTTTCCATCCTGTGGTTTTATGATGAATGAAAAAGACTCATGTGTTAATCAGTGACTGTGAAATACTTTACATAGTAAAGATTCAACTTTTCTTCAAAAACAGCAAAAAGAAGAATCTGTTCATGTAGCTAACCTGGAATGGTCTGTTCTACTCCCTTAGCTTTAGACATTGCTCTCAATCAATAAATGAAAGCTTTGTTTGGCAAGTAGCAGAAATTCTTAATGCTTTGTGGGCATCTCTTTTACTTCTTGAAATTGTTTTATTTGAAATTGATAGTACTCAATCTAACCATCCAGAAGCAAGAAATATGCAATTGACTAGTTATGTAAAGAACTTAAATATATGTAAAGCATACTAACATGCTATATTATTTTGATTGACATATCTTAGAATTTTAAAAATATGATAGATTGAATAAAATCCTGAGTTGAGGATTTTCTGTTTCTGTGAATAGTAAAATATAAGTGACTTCTGATTTTTTTTTATTCCCACATCCAGCCTTACATATCTGTGTAAAGCTTCATAGGAACTCACATGAGAACTGTGGCACTTAGGAGGCCTAAGACGGAACAGCTTAACTCATGTGAAATGGAACCATTTTGTTCTTTACACCAGAAGTTCAGGCAGTTGCTCCATGTCCTTGAAATTTTTATTTTCCTGATGGAACAGTGCATACCAGGAATGCGACTCTGTGGAAAATGAATCCCACCCCACCCCCATGTGTAGACAGTACAGCATCATTCTATTGCTGTTGTTTATTGTGTTTCTTTGGTTTTTTTCAAACATGGTAACTGTATTTCTAATTCAAACTTTTTTGAAAAAAAATAATAGTTTCTTCTAAGTTCTTCAGAGTTCTCTCTGAATTCTGATTTCTTATTGAGATCTGGTTGACATAAAGCATTTGGTTGTCAGAACTTTCTCCTAATGGTTTAATTCTATGCTTTTCTCCTCTTATTTGAAAGGACTATGATTCCATTGTGAAGCTGGTAGAGACTTTAGAAAAACTGCCAACCTTTGATTTGGCCTCTCATCACCACGTCAAGTTTCATTATGCATTTGCACTGAACAGGTAAGAAGAAAAAATTCCTTTCCGTAATATACTCTTATATTATTCCTTAACTTGCAGTTTCTTTACAGGGTACTTGTGGCATTGCAGTAACCTCCCATTGGAATGTAATATTAATATATCTACCTGTACCACATAAAATATAGGAAGCATGCATTCTGGTTTCTTTATGTTTATTGGCAGTAGAGGTTCCCCGACTATTTGTTTATTTAAATTCACATGATTCTTCTTCTCAAAGTTTGTATTTGCTATTTACACTTTTTTAGAATTTTTAAAGTTACATAAATATGACACTTAGGTGAGGCACTCTATTGTTTGGGGAATAATGACAGGAAAAGAAATTATGTGCATATTCAATACAGATGCAGTTTTTTTTAACAAATATTTTCTATGGTGCTATATCCAAGAATGTGGAATCTGCAGGTATCTAGGATGGACATTATACTTAACACCAGATAGTCGTTCACACAAATATTAACTAAAGCAGAGTAAGGATTGTTAGGTTTAGGCAAACATTCCTAATCAGGGAATATTTTTTACCAGAACTGCTCTGATTACACCTATTTATAACCAAAACTCTGTTGGTCATATTTGAGGTTAGGATTAGACTGGCATTGTTGCCTCCAGCCCTGCTTCTGCTTTCTGTCTGCATTGTGGCTCATCTCAGTGCCACTTCCTACATTGAGCCACCATGGAGGGCCCGCTGTGCTCTTGGTATGGATGGGGATAGAGCGCTGTGCTGTCCAAAACTGTTAGTTGTATTGCCGTTTTCTTCCATGGTGAGAGAACTGACGACATACATGTGTAGTTACCGCAAATGAAGAGAACAATGAGAAGAAAGGGAGCGGATGTCACATTACTGTAGCTCTTGCCATATGTCATGTAAGCCTTGACTGTCCTTATTTCAGAAGAGGCACCTGCAGGTTGAAAAGGTTGAGTAATTGTCCCTGAGGCTTGCAGTGTGCATGCCGTTAAACTTAGGCTCAAAGCCACATCATCCTGGTGCTGGGTATGTGCCCATCATTACTGACTCTGTTGCTTCTCTCTAGAAGAAAAAGTCAGCATGTTGCTCAATCTGAGATTGTGACTTTCCTTCTTGATCCACACAAACTGCAGAAGTCACTAACTTTATCAATAAATGCATGATAAAAGCCCATTTTACCTTCCCATTTATTAACATCTTCTTTAGATTTGACAGACATAGAAGAGACCCCCAGAGATTACCTGCTCCAACTGGTTTTCAAATAAATCCCTTTTTGAAAGGTAGAATGGAAGGTTACATTATGAAATGAAAATCCCTAAATGCCTCTTGTAATTTTACTTTATGTGTGTTTGCTTTCTGTGTGTATATTTCCTAAAATAGATATAATGAAATGATGAGCATACAACTTAAGATGTTTCATACAAGGGTAAAAGGGAATTTCATGGATTAGAAGTAGTGGTTGAGAGTAGATATGATTACTTCTTTTGCTTTTTGGTGTTGGGGAGCCCACTCAGGCCACCTGCTTGCTATATAAGTGTACATGAGTGTACATCCCTAGCCATAACACTTTTAAAATAATAGCTTTATTGAAATATAATTCGTACCATACAATTGGATGGATAAATTTATTCACTTAAAGTGTATAACTTAATGTTTTTTTCTAAAAATGTATTTCCAGAGTGTGAGTATGTGACCATCAGTTTAATACATTTTAGAACATTTTCATCATTTCCCAAAAGACTCCCCTATCAATGAGCAGTCATCCCCACCAACCCTCTAACCCTTGGCAACCGCTAACCCACCTTGTGTCCCTATGGATTTGCCAACTTTTGACATTTCATATAGCTGGAATCATATAGTATATGGTCTTTGTGACTGAATTTCCCATTTAGCATACTATTTTTAAGATCCAAGAAATGAAAACTTTTAGAGAATATTTTCTGGTTTTGTGAATTACCTAGATATGTGGTTTTAAAAAATGAGCAATATAGTAGAGCTTCCTTAGATAGTCAGTTGGTCACATATAGAAATCAGGCAACTTATGAATTAGAGTTAGTTTTTCGTATTGTCTGTGAATTAGTTTGCTTAGGGTTTTGTAGCAAAAGCCACTGAAATGTAAGGTCAAGGGTTTGTCCCTATTTAGAATAATAGACTGCCCCACTCAAGGCCACACACTATACTTCTAATCTCCTTCCACAGACCTGAAGCTGTATATAGGGTGCAAGGAAGTTGGAAGGACTAAAGATGGGTGGTACAAATCCATCACCAAGAGCCAAAGAGCAACCAGAAGAGATGCTTGCTCAACCCTTTAGAGATACAATAGTATAAAAAAGGCTTAGCACAGAAATCTACAGAGGACTCTCAAAATCTCTTGTTGTTTTATCCTGCCAGAGTTCACTAGTATGAGTCAATCGATACATTCAATAAAGTTTTAAAAAGAATCGGCCTATATTGCTTTTGCAATCTATATTGAAACAACAATATTCTCTATCTTAGGAGAAATCTCCCTGGAGATAGAGCAAAAGCTCTTGACATTATGATTCCCATGGTGCAAAGTGAAGGACAAGTTGCTTCAGATATGTATTGCCTAGTTGGTCGAATCTACAAAGATATGTTTTTGGACTCTAATTTCACAGACACTGAAAGTAGAGATCATGGAGCTTCTTGGTAAGTATCCAAGATATAATAAGCAAGCTACTTACTTGATAAGACCATGATATACAAAACTGTGCATAAATGAAAGTATTAACATATTATTAACAAATAGTTTGTGTATTATGAACTAAATCTTAGATTTTATAACTTTAGTATATAATTTGATAACATTCATTTGCCATTGCATAGTAAATTGGGATAAATTGGATGAAAAGATAAATTAAGAATATGATTTTTAAAAGACATTTTAAGTTTATAATATAAAATTTTTTGGAAAAATTTATAAAAAGACATTAAAGAAGACCTGAAGGAATGGGAAAACATACAAAATTGTGGATAAGAAGTCTTGATATTTCAAAGATGTTAATTCTCCCCTGCAATCCTTTTCATGTAATTTGACAAACTGATTCCAAAGTTTATTTAAAAATAAAGGACCAAGAATAGGCAAAGCAATGTTGGAGAATGTAAGGTGAAGGACTTGCTCTATGAGATAACAAGACACTTCATAAAGCTATGATAATTAACAAATCACAGAGTATGGCTATAGGCACGAACAAACAAGACATTGGAATTGATAACAATGATAATCTATTTATTATCTGTATATCTGGATCCCTATTTTAAATCCTGCACAAAACTGAATTGAGTGAATTAATGACCAAATTATGAAAAAAGTAATTTAGAAAAAAATATTTTTAGAATAAAATATACAAACTGTTGGTGACTTTGGAGAATTTTTTAAACAAGATTTAAAAAATACCATAAACCATAAAATCAAAGACTAGGGAGAATGCCTGAGTTGAAATGTGTTCCTCCTGCGAATGACGGTTATAATTGTGGAAAAACACTAAAAAAAAAAGTTAGAATGCAGAGAATAGTGAAACAGCAAAGGTTTGGATCCTTTAGTGAAGGATAGCAATTGGGGAAACATCTACATTTAAATGGTTTTTCCCTTGGGGCCCTCCCTGGACTGCAGGACGTGGGGCAGATGGAACTCAGGCTGGAAATGAAATGATAGTCTTCTTGGTCTGAGGAGTCTGCATGAGGCTGCCAGAGTGCCTGGACCCTAATTGAAGATGCCACAGAGGGAGGAGCCCTCTTCAATTCTTGGTCAACCCTGGAGTGTGCCTCTGAGGAGTAGTAACTGCAGGGGAGCTCCAGGGGCAGGGAGCAGCTGGAAAGGCTGCAAAGCTGAACAGAGACTTCAGCAAGGGCACTCCCACTGGGCACTCCCACCATAGGGAAGAGAGAGTTGGGAGTCTGAACCTACCAAGTTATTGGGATTTTAAATTTCTGATGAACCTCTAAAAGGGCCAACCCTTAAGAATAAAAACTATATCCTAGGATGAAGGGATTGCCCCCAAATTAAGAGCAAGATCAAAACAGAGCTATCCTAATAAAATGTGAAACTAAGCTTGAAATTTATTTCTCCATTGTATCTAAACACAGGAATCACAAATATCCAAATATATTATATCAATATATTTTTAAAACATAAAAAAGATGTTTTTTAGCTTAAACAATGATAAATCATTTTGCACTGTTTAGATTACCCAAAGTTTATAAATAAGAGAATAACAGTTGGAAAGGATGTTAGAGAAATCCCCTTGTTGGTTGGGGTATGAATTTTTATAATCACTCAAGATTTTGGCATTATTGAGGAAAATGAATGATTTATCCATCCTAGACCCAGCAGATTCATATACCGTAGAGAAACTCTAGAAGTTTCTTTATGTAATCATTTTTTTAAATATGTAGACATTTTGACAAAAAAAACTTTTTAAAAAACTTGAACAAAATAAACAATCGGCAGGACACATAAAGTACAGTTTCTTTTAAAAATTTATTTTAATTAGGTATATATGAAAACAGAATGAATTTTGATTCATTGTACACAATTGCAACACAACTTTACATTTCTATGGTTATACATGATGCAGTGTCATACCATATGTGCAGTCATACATGTACCTAGGGTAATGATGTCCATCTCATTCTACCATCTTTCTTGCCTCCATTCCCACTTCCCACCTCTCCTCCCCTCTGCCCCATCAAAGTTTCTCCATTTTTCTTATGTGTCCCCCCCCACCCCGTTTTATGGATCAGTATCCACTTATTGGAGAGAACATTCAGCCTTTGGTTTTTGGGGATTGGCTTACTTCACTTAACATGATATCTCCAACTCCATCCATTTTCCCAAAGATGCCATAATTTTGTTCTCTTTTAATGCTGAGTAATATTCCATTGTGTATATATACCACAGTTTCTTTATCCATTCATCTATTGGAGGGCATCTAGGTTGCTTCCACAGTTTAGCTAGTGTTAATTGAGCTGCTATAAACATTGATGTGGCTGTGTTACCATAGTATGCTGCAAGAACATTCAGACAGATAATAGTGTAAGGATAGATGCCTGTATGGACATCATAGCGGGGATGGAGGAATAGAAAGAGATCTTGGAGCAGTGCACATGCAGCTTTGAGCATATTTAAAACATTTTTTGTGTGTAGTATTAGGGATCAAACCCAGGGGCACTTTACCACTGACCTACATTCCGAATACTTTTGAAAAGTTTTTTTTTTTTTTTTTTTTTTGAGACGGGGTCTTTCAAAGTTGTCCAGGTTGGTCTCCAACTTGGAATCCTCCTGACCAACCTCCCAAATAGCTGGGATTACAAGCATGTGCCACTATGCCCATCTATATATAACTTTATTTCTTAAGCTGATTGATAACTATGTTAGGGTGTTGTTTGTATTGTTCTTTGTTACTTCCTAGTATTCCTAAAATATTCACTGGTTTAACACAAACACACACACACATACGGAATGTATATATTAAAGAAAGTTGATTTAGTTCAGGAGTTCCTCATTTATATCTATAAACATTTTTTAAGTTGTGAAACTGAAATCTTTTAAAATCTCATGTCATTTCAGCAGTTTAGAGGGAAACTAAAGTCAGGTAATGGGTTATAACCAGGGAGGAAAACATGCAGACAGTGATTTTCCAAGATTCTTCATAGAAGCTTTGATTTGGACTTTTGAATTTGTACTATACATTTTTTTTACTATAATATAAATAGTTTTATAGTTTCTCTGAAACAATTGTTTTTCGTGCTGTTACCAAAGAAGAATATAACTTTGTAGCCTTTTTGTTACCGTGGCATTAATACTTAAGCTAAGCTCTTGAAATGATAGAAGAATTAGAATCTGATAATTTGGGGAGCACTAAGCCCAGTATAAATGCTTTGACATGGTGATAGTAAAAAAAGTATTGATAATCCTAAAGGAGCCTGATTTCATGGTCTGTGAATTCAAAGGAAATATGTCCTAAGAAGTTAGTGTGCATCATGCACAGGAGTAAAATAGAAACGTTTCCTTGTTTGAAAGCAAAACAGTTTAGATGACAGACCAAGGGACATTTTCAAGGTTGTGCAGAGTTCACTTAAGGAGCAGAAGCAGTTTTTTCTGGTTTTGTTCTGCTTTGGTTTTGTTTTAACTTTTTCTGGTTCCTTTTTAGCCTAGGAATATCAGCTTTCTCTTTAAAGAGCTTTCTGGTCAAGGTCTTCAAGTCAAAAGGAAGCTTGTGCAGATTTTTATGATTTCATTTTAAGCTCCTCCATTAATTTTCTGTTAAGAAGAGGGAGGGCTATTAGAGTTCAAAGACTTTTAGTGGGAAAAGCCTTAGGAGTTGACCTTGTGTGTATCACTTTCTGACTTTTTTTTTTTTTAAGTAATGTAAGAACGGCACTTTTAGAGCTGGGGTTGTAGCTCAGTGGTAGAGTGTTTGTCTAGCATGTGTGAGACACTGGGTTCGATTCTCAGCACCACATATAAATAAATGAATAAAACAAAGGCCCATCAATATCTAAAGAAAATTTTAAAAAAAGAATGGCACTTTTACTATAGAGAACTATCTATAATCTATCATTATAACCATTATTGTCATTTTATCCATCAGTCCTCAAAGACACTAAGGAGGATTCCCCACTCACATCTCAATTTAAAAATGGATAATTTTTGGAACTGGTAGCACATAGTTCCAACTACTCAGGAGCTGAGATGGAAGAATTGCTTGAGCCCAGGAGTTCAAGACCAGCTTGGGCAACATACTGAGACCCTGTCTCAAAACAAACAAAAAGAGTGATTTCTCATGTCTTCACACTTTTATATGTGTTTCCAGCACCTTTTGATTTGATCCATCTCCCACAGTGGTGCAGACACACACTCATTTATGTTGGCACTGTCTCTAACCTCCCTTTTGATCAGAGCTGAGAAGGGAGCTGTCCTGTCAAGGTACTGACAGGGGAGAACACCGCTGAGGCTATCAGGCATCTGGCCAGTTGTACGCAGGATTGCACCTGCCCTGAGTCCTGGGTCCAAGGGGATGTTTCAACTGAATTTCTTTGAGTCATAATGTTCTGCATTTTCAACTTGTCCAGCTAGGATAAGGAGTGGGGTATTGGAGTCAGAACCTTGGGCTTTATTCTATACACTGAATCATTTTTTGTTGGCTTGAGTAAAAAGTGATCCACAGATATGGAAAGTTAAGGATGAAAGCTTCAACTCAATAGCAAAAGAGCCCCAAGCAATTATGATGGTAGTGGTTCCTCAAGCCCTTTCTTGTAATTCCCTCTTTAATATGGTTAATACATTAAATGTTTCTGCCCCATAATAGAGGGGGGAGACTTCCACACCCTTCTGAGCATAGTATCTGATTCAGGAACTGTGCATGGCACCTTTGTTATTGCCAGGAAACTTGTATTTTCTGAGAGCTTTACTCGGGGATTCAGAGTGTGCAAATAGAAAATAAGGAAAAAAAGAAAAGAAAATGAGAAAAAAGTTTCTGGTTTGGATTTTTTTAAGTTTGCTGAATTATGGTATATTGTTAGAACAAACTTTGGTTATTGAATCTATCCAACACACAGGGTGAGCGATTTGAATTAATCCATCCTGCTGATGTTAAGCATTAGCTAAAGAGTAGCGCTCTAATATTTGATGTTTTTATGGTCATTCC